TCATTTTCTTTCTTCAAGTGCTGGATGTAAAGTATAGTATAAAAATAAGCATTAAAATATTTGCATTTTTGACATCAAAAAAGTTTTATAGCTTCAGAAGGCCTTTTTGCTTAAGTCTTTATTCCGCTACATGCGCGCGCGCGTGCACACACACACACACACACACACACACACACACACACACACACCTGGAGCATTTGCTTTTTTGCAGAGGACCCAGGTCAGTTTCCATCACTCACATGGCAGCTTACAGCTAGCTGTAACTCCAGTTCTGGGGGTGTCTGACACCTTATTCTGACCTGTTGGTACCAGAACATATGAGGTGCACAGAGGCCAAAACATTCATACACATAAATAAAACAAGAAAGAAAGAAAAGAAGGAAGGGAAGAAGGGAAGAAGGAAGGAAGGAAGGAAGGAAGGAAGGAAGGAAGGAAGGAAGGAAGGAAGGGAGGGAGGGAGGGAAGAAAGATAGAAAAAGAAAGAAAGAAAGAAAGAAAGAAAGAAAGAAAGAAAGAAAGAAAGAAAGAAAGAAAGAAAGAAAGAAAAATAAATACAGGTAAAAGGCATGGATCTCAAAGAAACCCTCACATACACAATCAAATTATTTTTTCCACATAGGTGTCAAGCAATTGGAATAATATCTTGAAAAATGGTGCTAGAAAACCACATAACCTACTTGTGTGTGTGTTTGATACACACAGTTCTAATTATTCTAGATATATTAAGATTTGGTATCAGAAAGCATTATTTATTATGTATTCATTTTGATGCTGTTGTAAGTGGATTTTTTTTTCTGAGATTCCCACTGTTAGTGTGTAGAAGGAACCCTTTTGTCTGTTGCTTTTGTGGCCTACAGCTTTGCTGAATCCATTTCTTGGTTATCATGATTGTCTTATAAATCCTTAAGAGATTCCCATAGCTGCAGTCCTGTCATCTCTGAGCAATCTCCTTCCTCTCCAGGGTGGATAGCATTTGTTCTATCCCAATTGCTTGGGCTACGACTTCAGTGCCATACACAACAGAAGAGACAAAAGCTGCTGCCTTTCTTTGTCTTCCCCTGACCAACAGTGGCAGCCTTAGGTCCTCTCCACTGAGTGTTCGGGCTGCGGACTTCTCATGGATAGGCTTTATTATCTGCGGGTAATTTCCTTCTATTTAACACTTCATCTTTCTCATGAAAAATATTGACTCTGGTCAGATACTTTTTTAGGATCATCAGAGAGAAGCATGGGGTGTTTCTCTTTTACCCTGTGAATGTGGAATAGTAGCATATTAACACTGACTTGTTTGTATTGAACCGTGCTTTGCTCTGGCAGTAGATTTCACGTGGTCACCATCCACTGCCCTCTTACTGTACTATTGTTTGTTTTGCATCAGGGTTCATCATGATACGGATCTAAGGTTTTCTTGTACTGTCATCATTGGAGTTTGGTTTTTAAGTTTCCCTGAGAAGAGCTTTAGATGTAGTGATTTGGATATGGCTTGACTTTGTTCTTCAGTGGCTTGTGTATTATTACTAGAAGCTTGGGCCGAAGGTTGGTGGTGTTGGGAGGTGGTGCAGAACATTTAAGAGGTGGGATCTAGAAGGTCCTTAGGTCAGAAGGGACTGAGACCATAGTGTCTATTTGGTTCTCTCTTGAACACATTCCTGGCTCTGTTGTGCTGTATGGCATGAGGCCCTTCACAGAACCTAGCTGTTGCTGGCTCCATGCCATCATCTCTGTAGACTGTGAGTTAAAGAAACCACTTTTGGGGGCTACAGAGGTGTAGCAGCAGTTTGAAGCACGTGTCGCTTTTACAGAGGACCTAGGTTTGCTTTCCAGCACTCAGATGATCGCTCACAACTCCAGTTCCAGGAGATAGATACAACACCCTCATCTTGCCTCCACGTGCACCAGGAACACATGTGCTACACATCCAGACATGTAGGCAAACTACTCAAAAAATAAAAGTAAAAACACTGTGAGATTATCATTGCATTATTTCTGCTTCCCCTTTCCTTTCTCCAGGCCTTCCCCATACTCCTTCCCACTCTTCAAAAATTGTGGCCTTTTTTCATTAATTGTTACATACTTCATGTGTATGTTTATACATATATATTCCTAAACCTGCGCAGTTTGTATAATGTTATTTGCAGGTATGTTTTGAGAACCAGACTAGCAATTTGGTATTAATAACCAATTGGTATAAAAATATTTTTAACTATAAAAAATTTCTCTCTACAAAGTTACTCAGCCTCAAAAAAGCTTGTTGTTATAACAAAATACTAATACAGAAGTATTGTCTTTTAGTTGGATATTTGTGAGCGAATATTGTCAAGTATTGAAGGATGTGGCAGAACTCACCAGTGAAGCCCTCTGGTTCTCCACTTTTCTTTGTTGGGAGTTTTGTTTAGTGATCCAAACTCCTATATCTGAATTTTTTTATTGAGTTTTAGTGAATTGAGATTATATGAATTAATTTCATCGAGGTCACACAATGTTATAATCATACAGTCCTTTTTATTTCTCTGCAATTAGCTGCAATGACCACTCTGTGATTTCTGGTTTTACACATTTCAGTCCTTTTTTTTTTTTTTTTTTTTTTTGCCAAAGTACCTAAATGTTTGTTGGTAATCACAGAGCAAACTTTAATTTCTGTCTCTTGATCTATCAGTTCACTTACATATGCTCTCAAGTGTATCATTTCCTCTTCTGCCAGCTGCAGGTTGTTTCTAGCCCTACTGGGAAGAGTTGGGTTGATCTGAGATCATCATTCTGTGGATCACAGCTGTGACCATCCTATGAATGTCACATTCTATCCTGTACATGCTGGTGCATGAAGAGATTTTCTAATGTTTTTTGAAAATTGAGTAGTTTGTTTATTTTGGTTCTTGAATGTCCCCAAAAGCTTATGTTGAAGGCTTGCTTGATCCATGTTTCTGCATCACTGGGTGGTGGTAAAACTTATAGATGAGCCCTGGTGGTAGGGGCCACTATGTCATTGACGGGTGTGTCCTTGAAAGAAATATTGGGAACTGAGCCTTTTCCTCTCTCCCTCGCCCCTCCCTACCTCCCTCCAACTCTCTCCTCTCTGCTTCTTAGCTTCCTTAAAAGTCCAGCACCCTCCTCTGCTGTGTGCTTTCGCCTTGACATTCTGTGCTCCGCAGGGCTAATGCATCTTGGACCCAGTGAATGTGGTCTGAAACTGCTGAAGCTGAGCAAAGCAAGCCTCCCTCAGGTCTTTTCAGGCATTGTTACAGTGCCAGAAAGTGGATTCAGTATGTGCTTCATTTACGCGTATTTCATTTCTAGCTTCAGTCCACAGGTTCAGAGGACACTGCACGATTTCAGTCTTTCTAAGCTTGTTAATGTTGGTGACATGCCATTTGTTCCGGAAAACGAGCTGGTTGCATTTGAGAAAACTGTATTCCCTTATTGTTGGGAGGATCTTAGTCCCAGTTCATCTGCAGTCCCGCTTCCTTATTCCTCTGTCTGGTGACTGCACAACTGAAAGTAAGACACTGAAGTTTCTGCTTTTATTATAGAGTCCTCGCCCTTTGAATCTGTTCATGTTTGCTTCTTAGGTTTAGCTATGCTGATGTCTGACACACATGTAACTGCCACAGCTTGGAGAATGGACCCTTTTGCAATTATGTAATGTTCTTGCCTCATCATAATTGTGACTGAGGAATAGCTATAGTCGTCAGACAAAAACAGGCTTTGGCTACTATTTCTGTGGGTTATCTTCCATCCACTGTACGTCTTTAGAGCTAAATTCACTCATCCATGGGCAGAATATAGTTGGATCCTATTCAGTTTTATTCCATCTATTCCAGCTTGTGCATTTTTAGTTGTTTCGCCCCTATAGTTAATTGCTGATAAGGACAGGCTTCTTACTGACATTTTGCTGTTTTCTGTGTTGTTTTTGCTTCACATCCTTTGTTTAACTAGTTTTTTGTTCCCCTCTCATGTTTGGCAGCTGTTTTGTCAGTGGTATGTTTTATGGTCTAGCTGTAAAGTTGAAGGAGTCTATTTTGAGCAATAAATTACCCTCACCATTTGCAAACTTACAGTTCTGCTTTCCCTGTTACGTCACCCTTCACTCAGATGAAAACTCATTCATCTGTGGTACTGTGGATTGTACCCATGGAGTTGGTACCTGTCTGAGTGTGACTTTTGCTTGATGGGTTACTGTCTTGCTTACCTTCTTGTTTTCTAAAGTTCACATGTGGCTCTGTTTGTTCTTGCTGCCTCAGCGGCCTGGAGCTTCCTCACTGGCCACCTTGACACCATCACTCTTAGACTTTTTCTTTAGGAAGAATCTCTTTAAAGCTATTTATATTCACCACACTGTTTCCTAGTGTCCTTTTTTTTCCTGTTTAAGAAGTGCATGTAGAATCCTAGCTCCTTCTAGTGTCTTACTCCTTTTGTAAAAGCTTTTCTTCAGTGCTGCAAGTATGGGGTCTTTCAGGACTAGAAGCTTCTACTGACCCATCTACTGAGATTACAGGTTTGGTGCCCATGTCACTGCTGTGGATGAGTTCTCTGCTCAGCCCTTTAGACCACGTTTTTCACAGGCTTCTGGACTCTCACCCTGGCTGGGAGACTCCTGTCTGCCAGTGGTTTAAGGAAAATGTGTATGAAAATTTGGAGGCTCTTTCTTGGATTTTCCACCTGGAAGTGTGCAGTATCTCATCATTTCATCAGTCCCATTCTCTATCTTCAGCCCAGAAGGACTCCCCTGTAAACCCATACATTGAAGAGTTGTGTGTCAGGAAAGATAGTTTAATACGTAGCTCTTACCTCAAAGGATATATACCATGTGCAGATTCTGCTACTGAAAATTCATGTGTATTTTTAAGTTCTGTCCAGTTTAGATTTCTTAGAATTTAAAGTTATTTTTAAATATAAATGTTGAAAATTGTTTTAATGAGGGAGCTGGCTGCAATTAAATTATTTAGTAATATAAACAAGAATATTATATTTTAACTAAATTGTTTTTTTTTTCACTTTTGTAGGATATTGCAAATGAAGACCATCAAAAAATTGAAGTGTTAAAATCAGAAAATAAGAAACTAGAAAGGCAAAAAGGAGAATTAATGATTGGGTTCAAGAAGCAATTGAAATTAATTGACATTTTGAAAAGGCAGAAGGTGAGTCTAATAACAGAAGCTATATCAGATATGCTACAAACAGACCTTCCTACTAAAAAGTTTGTAGTTTTACTTTGTGTATAATCTTACACATAAGATTGTATGTAAAGATAACTGTATTCATGTGAAGTCACATCTGTGTGACACCGGTGAACCAGGTTCACTAGTTTAAAACACACACAGTCTCTCTTAGCTACAGAAAGTACCACACACGAGAATGACTCATTTTGGTGATTACTTCCCTCTTCAAACTTTGAACAGCAATTCCAAAGCACAGTGTACCTTTCTTGAAACATGACAGAAGGCAGTCCACAGCCCTCTCACTTCCTTGTTACAAAGGTCAAGTAGAGTCATATCAAATTATTATTCTGTCATGTATTGTTATTCGTTCCACAGTAGCTCGGTCTTGAGTGTAACACCATGTTACACTTGCACATCTAGAATATGTATTTCAACGGTGATAGCATGTTAACAGAAACTTATAAAATTCCTATGGTTGCACTTCTTTCTCTAAATCAGACAATATTGATTTTTTTTTAAACCAGATGCATATTGAAGCTGCCAAGATGCTGTCTTTCAGTGAGGAGGAGTTTATGAAGGCTCTTGAGTGGGGCAGTTCATGAGTGAGTGATTTCAGTGTGATGCTTGTTTTGTGTTAGTTTGACAGCAAATTGTAGTGTTTCTTTACTGTTCATAAGTAATGAGAATATTTGTGAAATAAAAGGTTCAGATAATGACCTATTGAAATAAACAGTGTTTGGAAAAGGATGTTGTAAAATAAAGCAGCAAGACTTTGATTTTTAATTCCTTTTGACAACCTACTAGAGCTGGGAGAGGACATAGCCAGATGTCAAGACAAGAGTGCAAAGATCTCCACTTAGAGCTACCAAGTCTGCCCAAGGCTGCTGCATCCAAACAGTAGTGGTGCAGGCTGGAACTGGAGTCTGTCTTGCAGAGGTCGTGTGCCCTCTTTTTCAGTAATTATGCACGAACTGAGATACCTGGAAAGAAGGGCAGGGCAACACCCAGGTAAGAAGTGATAGCACCTAGTTACAGCAAAAGAAAAGCTTTATTGAGGAGCGTGAGGGCAGTTTTACACTTCCTCTAGCATAGCATAGAAACAGGGGAGAGAAACTGCCTTGGTCTCCAGCACTGGGCCCATGACAGTAAAACCCAGCAGACCCTTGGCCCAGCTGTAGACCAGTAAATATGCCTGCCCTGGTGCTGCCTGCCCTGGTGCTAAACAGGAACCAATGGTTCCTGCAAGGTCATTCCAGCCCATGTCACTTCTGGCCGACTGCAGCCACCCTGCACTGTATATAAACTTACAAACCTCCATAGCAGGTAGGTCTTGGCTGTGGGCTTCTGGCGCCTGTGTTGCCCTGAGCTCTCAACCCCAGGGCCTGTGCCAGCATAGAAGGCCATGGTTCGTTCTGATCTAGCTACAGTGACCTTGGGCCTAACTCACCCTGTAGTGATGTCCTGGGCTCAGATCTAGACCTAACAATGAATGGTCTGACAAGAGTGTCTGGATGTCCTACGCCAAAGCCAGAAGGCAAGAAGTTCGGGTCATCCCCAGCCGAATAGCAAAGTTCAAGGCCAGTCTGGGATACATAACACTTTGTCTCCAAAAATTACAAAGAAACATACACACTGGGCTTAATTTGCACTTTCGACTAAATGAGCCTAAAAAGACACAGAACACTCTCTCTAGCAACATAATATATATATATATATATATATATATATATATATATATATATATATACCTTCTCAAATATATAGAATATTCTCCAGCGTGGATCAGGTGTCTTAACAAATTTAAGAAGACAAACTATAAAATATACCATGAATCTTTGCGGTCTGTGATGCTGTAAAAGAACAGACCAACAAAAGGAGCTTCAAAACTTTACGACACGTGCAAATAACACACCATGCTCCTGAATAACCAGCAGGCTCATGAGAACAAAGCAAATTTAAAACAACGTTTTACATAAAATGGGAACATAACAGAATATATTCAATACAATAAAAGTATTCCTGGGGGAAGTTTGCAGCAATAAAATACCTACATAAGAAGAAAGTCATCTTAGCACTGCAGAAATGTCCAAGTAATGTACCAAAACCAAATCCAATGTGGTTAGTACAAGAAAAACGGGAAAGATCAAAGAAGAAATACATTACAAAGATAATACAGGTCATGTAGCCCTAACTTGTTGAAAAGTCAAGTCTCAAACACTGCACAATCTGTTTTTTTTTTTTAAGTTGCATGTTTTATTATCTTTTTAAAGATTTATTTATTATGTATACAGTATTCTGTCTGCATGCATGCCTTCACACCAGCAGAGGGCACCAGATCTCATTATACATGGTTATGAGCCACCAGGTGGTTGCCAGGGATTATGGAAGAGCAGCCAGTGCTCTTAACCTCTGAGCCATCTCTCCAGTCCCCACAGAATCTGTTCTGTCATTAATTTGAAACTGTAAGTGTAAGTGTAAAATACCAAATCTGACTTCATGTGACAAGTTGCAGGCAAAACACAGGTTCACTGAAAGTAATGAGTAAAATTACCTCCAGGTTGTGAGTATAAGGTCCATTTTTAAAAAATAAATGAAGGCCAGTGAGGTAGCTCAGGAGGAAAGGGCACCTACTACCAAGCCTGATACCTTAATTCAACCCCTGGGAGGTGGAAAGAGAATGTCCTGCAAGCTGTCCTGAGCCCCACATGCAACTATGACAAGCACAGGTCATACCCACACTCACAAATAATAAGATTAAGAATTAAAGATTTTATTTTTTAAAAAATAAAAGGATTAGTCCTAGTTGGTCATGGTGGTGCATGCAGGACGGTCAGCAGCGTGCTGTCAACAGGGAGCTTGATGCTAGTGTGGGTGGCAGGAGACACTGTCTCATCAAACAGACCAGTGAAGATCACATTTAAATTTAGGTTTCATTCTCAAGACCTTTTATTATGTGTATTTTAAATGGTCCAAGATAAAAACAACAGCAACAACAAAAAATCCCAACTTTTCTCCCAAGCAATTGCAGCTACAGCACACACTCAACCCACATGAAACAGCTGGCTTTTCGGAACACAGTATCAGTGACTTTTAGCCAGCAGAAAATGTCCAGAGATGGAAAGAGGGGACACACCCATTTTACTGTATACAAATGATCATAAGAGTAGTATAAGTGAATAATGTGGATAAAACAGAATGAACTGATTTCTGGAGATATACTACCAAGAACTAACTATGAAGAGACAGAAAATACCACCTATGTAAGTCCAGTTCTAGGGATTTGAGGCCCTTTTCTGGCCTCCACTGACTGTTGTACTAACATGGTGCACAGATATGCACTCAGAGATACACATAAAATAAAAATACTTTAAAAACAGCTCTCAAAGAAGAACCCAGGACCTGAGAGCTTCCCTGCTTGCTTCTACCAATCATTTAAAGACTAGTGGTTCTTCTCAAATGATTCTAATACACTGACATAAAGACTACTCCACATTCAAGTATGCTCTTCCTGATACCAAAATCATGCAAGAGCAACAAACAAGTAAACAAAACCAAGCCAACAACTCCCGCAGCCCAGTATCCCTGGTCCACTCAGATGCAGAACTGCTCACCACAGCACCAGCAACCAACTTCAACAGTGCATGAAAAGATCACTCACCATGATGAAGTGAGTTTCATCCTAGATGATTCAACATTCAGATCAATAAACATATGTCACATTGATAGAAGGAAGAAACAGTTTATAAATTCAGTAAAGCAGAAAGCCTATGACTGAGCAATACTTCATGACAGAAACTGTCAGCAGAGTAGATTACAGAAGGGATCTACTTTGACAGAAAGTCGTATATGACAACCCCACAGCCAACATACTGAACAAAGAAAAGCTGAAGCTTATCCTCACATATTTGATTTCTAACCTTTTGATTCTGTGACATGATAGTCATCTAAAAAGTACACACTCAAGAACTGTGCAGCAGAATTATAAAATTTAAAAAAACACAAACATTTTGCATAAATAAAGATCTACGTTTGCTTTGTGTTGGGTTGCGTTCATAATTATCCTGACCAGATGCCAGGTTGGCAACACCTGCAAGACCTGAAATCAGACAGTTAAGAGCACTGGCTAGACTGGACGGTGGTGCACGCCTTCAGTCCCTGCACTGGAAGGCAGAGGCAGGCGGGTCTCTGTGAGTTCGAGGGCAACCTGGTCTACACAGTAAAACCCAGTCTAACTCCTTCCCCATTAAGAAAACAAAACAAACAAACAAACAAACAAAAAACCCCAACAAACAAATAAAGCAAAAAACCAGCATTGACTGCTGCTCTTCCAGAGTAACCAGATTTGGTTCCCACCACATAAACAGTGGCTCAAAACCATTTGTAACTCCCAATTCCAGAGGATATGATGCCCTCTTCTGGCTTTCTTAGTCACTGCATACATGTTCACACATACGTGCAGGAAAACAACCAGTAACATTAATCTTTTTAAAAAAATCATAGCAATAATGCTAACTAGAGATAACCAGCAAGAGAAAGAAAAACATGATGATTGGGAAGAAAAAGTTGAATTGTCCATTATCAAAAATGTTTCATTGGTAGCCGTAATAGCAAAAATAACAGGCTTGAGCTATAGCTCAGACTCAGGGCACGTGTGAGACCCAAGATCCATTCCCTGGGCTAACACACAGGTGAGAGACAGCAGCGGCACTTCCGTACACCAATGGCCAAGTGTCAAAATTTACACTAAGCCATTGTGTAATATCTAACAAAGAACATTTAAGACTAAATTCAACCAAGGGGACTGGTGATGGGAACAACACGGAACAAACTACAGAATAAGTTAAAAATGCTAAAATTCAAAAACGTGTCTGAGCCCAGCATGGTGGCACATGCCTTTAATCCCAGGACTTGGGAAGCAGAAGCAGGTAGATCTTTGGGAGTTTCAGGACAGCTAGGGCTACATAGATAGACCCTGTTTCCAAAAAACAAAAACAAAAACAAAAACAAAAAAAAAAACAACCCAGAAACCAAACATGTATGAACTGAACAGCAAGGAGGGAGGGAGGGAGACAGAGAACAGAAAAAAACCTAAGTGTGTGTGTGTGTGTGTGTGTGTGTATTATATGGCATCATACGGTATATATATGATATATATATACACACATATATATATGATATAGACTGGTGGCTGCTCTTGTAGATCCTCTACACCCACATGGCAGCTCAAATCCATCTCTGACTCCAGTTCCAGGAGATCTGACATCCTATTCTGCCTCCTCAGGTATTGCACACGTGGTACATATACAAACATGCAGACAACGCCCATATACACAAAACAAAAATAAACCCTTTAAAAGATAAAAGAAACAAATGTTTGGGAAGATATAGAGGAAAAGGAACCATTACAGGCTATTAGCGGGAATGTAATGAATATACACACATCCTAGGAAAAAGCCGGTATGGGGGTTTCTCATGATGATTATAATCACCCTGTTTTCAGGAATATAGAATATTTATTTCTCAATTGTATTTATTTATTTATTTAGGTTTTTATGAGATAGGGTTTGTCTGTGTAGCCTTGGCTGTCCTGGCCTCAATTTGTAGACCAGGCTGGCCTCAAACTTACAGACATCCGCCTGCCTCTGCCTCCCTGAGTGCTGGGATCACAGGTACACGCCACTGTGCCCAGCCAAGAATATATACGTTTTAAAGATCAGTGTACTGAAGAGACATCTGTGCAGTGTCGAAGATGAGTACACAGAGAAATCTCTGAACAGCAGTACCAGAGCACTGAGTAGTTAGCTTCTGCGTGTGGCCTATGTGGTTCTGTGAAATTCTGTGACACATGGCATCAGAGAATGCAAAGGGAATAAAGTGACTAATCCTGCAGTTAAAGTACTAATGTGTTTAATTTTTGTCTAACTATAAATGGTGAAATATTAGGGCGTTTTAGAACTGTAAAACAATAGTTACACTAGTATCTAGTGTAGCATCTGAAAAATCCAGGTTTCACCAAATCTTGTGCAGATCACTTCTCTTCAAGACAGAAGTCACTCCTTTTCTGATACGCTTTCCTAAACTCTTCACCAAGCATGTCAACATCATCCTCTCTTTTGAAAACTCCCTATGAAAAAAAAAGCATTTTGTTGGTTACTTTTGAACTTGAGAGTAGTTTACTGAATGCTCTTAGGGCCGACATATGTGGGCATGAAGCTAATGAAGTTATTCGAGATAATGAGAGCTGTTAAACACATTAATGAAACTTAATTTTAGAACATCAGCACTTTCCTAAGACTATGGATACACGTATACCCTGAATATTTTGAGCTGCCCCCATTTCCTGATTAGTCACCTTCAGAGCAGACAGTTGTTCTAGCGATCTGTGCCCTTGTGCTCCAGCTGCAACCATCGCCTGGAGAGCAGAGCCCAGGGCCTGCTCTGCCCACCCTTGTCTGAGTGGGCTGTCATTGTAAAGGAGGGAGGGCAAGGGGGAAGAGGCTAATCTAAGCTAGATTACCACGTGGGCACATTCTTCTGGCCTCAGGTTGTGTCTCATTGGGGACACTGAGTTTAACTTTAATAGGTCCTGTCTGTCCTCAAACGTATCTTCTCCACATTGAAATTCAATGATCCCCTTAGAATAGTCTGTTTCATTAAATGTACCAGTCATAAGTGGACTTTAACATTGGCTATCATTTTGTATATCAACCTAATTAGACTGTAAGACCCTATGGCTAGCAACTTTTAATACTGTTTCTTCTCCTGTCACTGGCTAGGGACTGAACACAAAATACACGATAATGCAATCAGTAAAGACCTCACAGACACCATGACTTGTATATCTGAAGGACTATGGCTTTATGAATCTCCGTTTATATGGACAAGGAAGCTAATTATTAGCAGTCACAACGTGTCTCAGATACACATGAAAATTCACTGCCTTTTGGAATTACTTTCAAAAAATGGGGCTTACAACCAGTCTCCCCCAGAGCAGACTCATCTCAGACGCATGTTGAACATGTCTGTCACCATCTTAGGGTTTGCCCATTTATAGTTGCTCTAGGGTGGTCTGTTTTTAGATTTCCCATGCAACAAGGAGAGAAAAGAACCCCAAAAATGTAGCGCAAGGGCTGGGGATGTAGCTCCCTGCACAAAGCACTTGCCTAGCAAGGCTCTGGGTTAGATTTTTCACCACTGCACAGGCTTGGCAAAGTGGCACAAGCTCTCAGGAGGTAGAAGCAGGAGGACCAAAAGTTCAAGGTCATCCTCAGCTACATAGGGAGTTCTGGGCCAGCCTGGGCTAGAGCTTGTCTCAAAAAGTAGGTAAATAAATAAATAAATAGTAACTAGAGAAGCTCAATAACTCTAGCTCAGGTCACTAATAAGGTTCCAAGACCAAGTCTTCTTACAGAGGTGTTTAAAAACGACTGTGGGGTTTAACACCTGCCAGGATCCCGATGCTTCATCTGAACAGCATGAAAATCCATGAAGTTACACCCTCCCACTTTCTAGAATCCGGCTGCTGCTGCTGCTGCTGCTGTTAGTGTTGTTTTCTCCATCATTATAGGTCATGAGGGTCACACGCTAAGCTAAGTGTCACTTACTTTGGGGAGATAGCCTAGTAACTTTGCAGCATGTTCTTTGAGGAGTCTCTGCCTTTCTTCTTCAATAATCTCATTGATGCAGCCCTGTTGTCTTTGCTGTAGCTGCAATTCCTCCAGTTCACGTTGCTGGAGATGAAATAAAAATGTCTTAACTGTCACAAAATATATTAATCTCTTATGAAGTTTACAAATAGACTGTTCTTGCAGTGAACTAAGTAAGACTGATGGGCTGATTATAAAAACAGAAGATAATAATGTATGTCTTTTACATACATAAATATATATGCCTGTTTTTATCATCATTTCTTTAAACTTTTTAATTATATTAATTTTTATTAATTACAGTTTATTCACTTTGTATCCCAGCTGTAGCCCCCTCCCTCAGCCCCTCCAATCCCGGCCTCCCTCCCTCCCTCATCTCCTCCCATGCCCCTCCCCAAGTCCACGGATAGGGGAGGTCCTCCTCCCCTTCCCTCTGCCCCTAGCCTATCAGGTCTCATCAGGACTGGCTGCATTGTCTTCCTCTGTGGCCTAGCAAGGCTGCTCCCCCCTCAGGGGGTGGTGATCATGTCAGAGACAGTCCCTGTTCCCCATACTAGGAAACCCACTTGGACACTGAGCTGCCATGTACTACATCTGTGCAGGGGTTCTACATGATCTCCATGCATGGTCCTTGGTTGGAGTATCAGCTTCAGAAAAGACCCCTGGCCCCAGATTTTTTTTTCTTTCTGATTTTGTTGCTCTCCTTGTGGAGCTCCTTTCCCCTCCAGGTCTTTTATCTCCCCCTTCATTCATAAGATTTCCTGCACTCTGCCCAAAGTTTGGCTATGAGTCTCAGCATCTGCTTTGATACCCTGCTGAGTAGAGTCTTTCAGAGGCCCTTTGTGGTAGGCTCCTGTTCTGTTCCCTGTTTTCTCCCTCTTCCGATGTCTGTCCTGTTTGCCTTTCTGAGTGAAGATTGATCATCTTACCCAGGGTCCTCCTTCTTGCTTAGCTTCTTTAGGTGTACAGATTTTAGTATGTTTAACCTATATTATATGTCTAATATGCACTTATAAGTGAGTCTATAGCATGTGTGTCTTTCTGCTTCTGGGATACCTCACTCAGGATGATTTTTCTTTATACTTTTAAGAACAAGTCACATCCACCCACACTTTCGTTTTCTTTATTTTGTGGTACTGGTATTTGCACCCAGGGCCCTTGTACCTACTAGGCAAGCACTCTACCACTGAACTATAATCCTAGCCCTATGATAGGAAGCTTTAAAGATGCAAGTATATATTTTTAGGAAAATATTCATTTCAAGAAAAAAATGTATTCAAGAGTGATTTCCTAATAAATTCAGCAAACATTTATGGAATTCCCACCATATACCAAGTACCCAAGATATCCAAAACAGTTTACAGTATGAGACAAACAAAACAAACAAACAAACAAACAAGAAACTCTAACACATAAAACCTTACACGGTTATCCAAAGACATATGTTTCCAACTGCAGACTTCAAAGGGCCGTTGTGACGCAGAGGTCAGAGTCTCAAGTACCTTTCTGGAGAATTCTGAATTTTTTGGACACTCTGAGCCATGAAATGCAGCTGTGATGTCGTCTGCATAGTCTTAGGGCCTTAGGACATAGAGAACTTTACCTACACCTGAGTAGGATCTCAGTAATGGGTCTGGAGCCTGGGGTTTCACACAGCCTGGGTAAGAACTCCACCACTGGCAGCAGCCCAGCCCCAGGTACTGTGTGTTTATGAGATGAGAGAACCTCCTAACCCGGGCAAAAACCAGGATTCCCTTCCTATGTAAGTAGTGCCTGTCACTACTCCACATGCCCTGCAGTGAGCTGGTATGACTGGGTTAGACAGGTGTGGGGCAAGGCCTGGACAAACTGGGGTAAAAAGCTCCTTGGAGCTTTCTTAGGGTTTTGTTAGAGGTAGACAAGATAATGGAAACCTACTTAGGCTTCTAAACTATAAATGGGCAGTTTAGTGCTTTTAGGGCTACACAGAGCCATAAATTGTTAAGTTCTGCTAAGACATCCACATTTGCCCCTGGGCCTTGTCTTACAACACTGAGAGCTAGGCTATTTCCTCATCTGGGAATGCTTACCATTAAAACCTAAAATGTAAGTTGTATACGTGTGTTACTGGGTGGTGGCTTTAGTGATTTCCATGTTTGCATGTCTTTCTGGCTTTTCTCTGAACATTTTAATCAGCTCTGTAACCCCTAGATAGGCTAGTCCACTGGACCCTTCTACAGGAAAGGATTAAAGGCTTTTCAGGCAATTCCAAACCTTTTCATTTTCTGTGTTCCTGGTGACTGTGTTAACAGCTATTGCCTTCATTAACTCCACACTTGTAAACATTTACCGCGTGTCGGCAAATAGCACTAGACCAGGTTCAGGCCAAGACTGATTTAGAACAGGCCTAAGCAACTGAGGCTTTTACCTGTGGAAGAGTTCACTGAGGTTTAAGTGTGAACGGACATGATATTTATAAAACTCACTCCTGGCGGCCTGGACAAGTTATAAGGAGGCCGAGTAGAAATGTCAGGGAGCAGAAGGAGATTCCTGTGGCCCCTTGGTTTTCTGTGGTTAGACCATTTAAATGGTCTTTTTTTTTTTTTTTTTTTTTTTTTTTTTTAGTACGTTTTTGGTTTTTCCTTCCTCCTCTTAAACTATGATGTTCTCTAAGACTCCATTCTAGGGCCCTGGATGCTTTCTCATTATAACACTAATATCTCACTTAAACCTTTTGGGCTGCCTAAGTCCAGGTAAGCACTCCTCAAAAAACAAAACCAACCAACCAACCAAAAGAATCAATCAAACAAAAAGAGCCCAAGCTTCACTCTAAGATGTAATCGTACACGCCTGTGAGTTTCTCATACTTGAAACCTTTGACTTATTTTGATTCCTTCTTCCTCTATCCTATACACTATGGGGAAGTGTGTCTCATTCACTTTCTACAAAATATATATATATTTGAATATATATATATATTCAAATTCTTCTTCACCTCCTACTGCTGCTGTTTAAACCCACAGAGTTAGGCCTGCCGCTTCTACTGGCTCTGCCTAAGAGGCTGCACTTGCGCATTTAGGGTGTTTCGTCTTTTTAAAGCATTCACATGACTGTTAGGTTACTCAGACATATCCTTTCCGTGACATGTAGCATTAGAACATTCTTTCAGTTTGTCAATGAAACATAAATATTTAAGACAGTAAATATTTAAGTCAAACTTGCAAGCTGGTTCTCTGTCCAACTTCTTCTTTTTCCCCCCCAAGACAGGGTTTCTCTGTATAGCCCTGGCTGTCCTATAGACCAGACTGGCCTTGAACTCAGAGAGCCACCTGCCTCTGCCTCCTGAGTGCTGATATTAAAGGTGTGCACCACCACCACGTGACCCCCTGTCCAACTTTTAAATCTACATTTTCAACAGTTAACCTTCTATTTTGGCCAAAAACATCAATATGGACACATACATATTCCTTCAAGAGCTACTTTTCCGTCTACATGCTCTTTAGGTCGGGGCCTGCTCACTGAAGGGGAAGTGTCTATATTGGTAATCAGTAGCCACCTTCAGCCCTCACCTCTCCAGATTCAGCTGGTCTCCAGCATCATCCATTGTGTGTTTTTAGCATCCGAGGAGCCTCTTCTCCATTTGCATACGCCACCTCTTATCACTGAGATTTGGGACATTCCTTGTTGGCTGTCTATCTCCAGTATCACTCCTTTTATATTTACTCTCAGTGCTGCTACTTGAATCATCTTTCTACATGCCAATCTTAACATGTAATTTTCTTAATTTTTCAGTGACTTCTCTTAGGGGAAAAATCTACCTTAATATTCAAAGGTGTCATGATGTGTAATTCCTCTCTGCTACACCAACGCCTCCATACCTTTAGCATCACACACAAAAGATGTTTATAACTTAGTTTTCTATTTTTCTCAACCAAGATTGTAAATTCACAGATGTTACTTCTCAACAGCAGCACATAAAAACCTCAATAATCAGTTTTTAGGTGCTTTAAATAAATGACCCCTTAGATCCCAGCACTCGGGGAGGCAGAGGCAGGTGGATCCCTGTAAGTTTGAGGCAGGCCTGGTCTAATCAGTAAACAAATACCTAACATTGTATGACATATAAGCAGTTCTCAGTGGGCTGTAGAGACGGCTCTCTGGATAAGGTACTTGCCACACAAACACGAGGGCCTGAGTCCATAGCCTCGGAACTTGGTTAGAGTCAGGTGTGAGTAACTTCAGGTTCTAACAAAATGGCAGACAGCAATAAAGACGCAATAAAGCAATAAAGGCTGCAGGCTGGCTAGCCTCCAGTCCCTCTGCAGTGAGTCTACCGGGACCCTGCCTCAAACAAACTCAAGGAGAGGACCAGTGTGAGGCTGTCCTCTGCTCTGCACACACACACTAAGGCACACCGTGCACACTCAAGCACACACATCCAGGCGCCCAGCAAATGGTTACTGATGAGCAGATGAGCTGGCTGCTGTGCACTGAGAACGACAAACAGCCCGAGGCCCCTTACTTTGTCCGCGAGGAACTGGCAGCGCCGCTCTCTCATGAGGGTCTCCACAGCTCGTCTGTGCTCCAGCTGCTTCATCCGGCGTTTCTGGGCATTTAGGAGCTCTAACCGGTCATCTTCGGCAAACTTCGCCAGCATGGCTTTCCTAAAGGCCTCTTCCTCCTCTTTTGCAGCCTGTTGTATTAGTTCCTTCAGTGCCATTTGGTTTTCAAAGTCCTGCTTCATCTCCCTCTGCTTCTGCAGTTTCTGTTCTACTTCTTCCTGCACAATAGTGGAGCTAGAGTTAAGCACTTCTTGCACGATCATCAGAGGGCAGTCTCGGCAAGCAGGAGGGTCTGGAGCCTGCTCCAGCCTAGGCTACAGTGAGTCTCAGGAAACAAGCAGACTGAAGAGTAGCACAGAGTCTGGGTAGGCTGCGGATTACAATATGAAATCACATAAACAAAATAAAGCCTTTTCCTGGCAATGCTCTGTCCCACCCTCTTAAGGCTATTTGAAAAAAATGCCATGTTCTTTTTAAAAATGTTTTATTTATATATGTGTATCTGCACGTGCATATGTGTATGGATGTGTAAGTGCCCACTGAGGCCAGAAGAGGATGTTGGATGCCCTGGAACTGGAGTTGCAGGTCCTTGGGTCCTCTCCAAAAGCAGCAAGTGCTCTTAATCATTGGTTCTATAACATGGCAGTCATTTCTTCTACAATTTTAAGTTGTGTACAGCTGCCATCTTGATACTAAGCTCAAAATTTATGTGTAGCCTCTTGAACGGAGCTACTGTGAAAGCTTTTGCATACACCTGATCCTGAGCACCTTTGCTGATCCTGAAGGAAGGACAATTATATCATCTGCGAACACCACTTAGCAGTTTCCAACTTCGTCCTTTTGTGAAGGCAAAGTTACATGTACAGACTCTAGAGTCCCAGCCCTCCCATAATTCTCAAGAAACAAACAACAACAAAAAGCCCAGAAATCCAAAATAAAACAACCTCAAGACAAAAAAAAAATTCCCTGCAAAACAGTTTAAAAAGTCATCTAGCAATGAAATTAGAAGTTTTTCAGGGAAATAGAAACAACTAAATTCTTTTCCTGTAAGTTTTATTTTCTAAACACATAAAAATTTTTCACATACAAAAAAAATGTAAAAATCTCATAGTAACCATCCATATTACTAACACCTAAATTCTACTAATTTTACACCTTGTTATTCTTGTTCTATCATCTGTTTATCTATTCACCTAAAACTGGCACAAATCTTAACTCATGTTTTCTAACCTAATTATCCTTGCCAAATCCCCGCAAACACTCTAGGCAGCCCAAGTCCACACGACTCTAAAAATCCTAACACCTGTACCAGCCACCTCATTTTATTTCCGGTGTGTGCGTCATGCTCATCCCTTCCTGAACACAATCAAGCCCCCAAAGGATCTATTGTTTTTCTTTGATGTTCTGGGCACATGGTGTTTTATACTGTGTATTTTGCACTTACTTACCAAGTAAATGCACAGGCATCAATAGCTTGGAGAAGACAGTTTATTTTGTGACATTTAGTCTGAAATGTCTTGAGTTTATGACATCCCTCTGCACACAGAAATGTGCTTTATGTAGTACTAATAGTACTATTGGAAGTCCTGGGAATCTGCTACTTATGCAAATTTTTATTTAACTTAATAGTGAAGACATCTTTCAAGAAAAGGGTGGGGGGCAGTTGGAGATGTTTGGCCAAAGTATTGTTCTACTGTGAACAATACTGGGTCTTCATAAAGATTGTACTCGTTATCAGTATGGGCTGCCAAACTTCTTGTCCTTTCCTGTGTTCTAAAACTGTTACGCGGTCTTGAAACCTTCAGATCATTTGCTGAACAGTCACTCTGACCCCAGTAACTTCCCAGAGAGTCTCCGCTAGGATCAGAGCCTTACACAAGGACATGTGTGTCCCAGGAAACAGCAGCGAGGAACAGAGTGTATCAGGAAAGAAGAAAAGCCAACACAGGGCATGTTGGGAAGATGGCCACACTGTGGGCACTGAGGCTGTGCTCTCAGGACCTTCCCAGGGAAGGACAGAAGGAGTGAACACCCATCAGCGACTGTCCAGTTGGTGAGGGATGGGCAGAGAGGGCTGCTCCTTGCTGCCATCTCTCTCCCCCCAGCTGTGGAGAAGCTGTCAGCACAGTTAATCTAAGCTCCCACAGGAGTTCCCTACAGCTGTCCCCAAAGGACAAAGTCACATTGTGAATGAGTTTCCAGAGAATGCTACCTTGGGAAAGCAGCTGATCTCACAAAGTTCCACCTGTGTCATCCATTCATGGAACATTCTTGAGTACTTTTCAGTATAGCTAAAGGCTCACACAGTGTGTCTTGTTTATATATCCATCAGCTGATGGACATACAGGCTACTTTCATGTTTTAGCTATTAGAAGTACTGCTATGTACATTGTTTATAAATACATGTGAAAACACAAGATTACTGAGTTTTGGCTATTCCTTTCTCAAACTGAAACGATAACATTACCTCTATTGTCCCCACATGTTTTGCTGCATTAAAAAAAAATATCATTCAGTTTGAAGTATCTTTCTTTTGCTCATTGCTTATCTAGAAATATATGGTTTCATTATGGTACACTTAAGGACTATACAGTCATCCTCATTACTGATTCTTCACTGTAGTGAGAAAACAGGTTTGATATGACTGAAAATCTTGTGAATCTACAGAGGTTTGTTTTGTGTCCTAGGAGCCATCTGTATGTGTTCTGTGTGGACGGGTGGAATTCGTATTGTGGTGTCGTTGGGTGAAGTCTTTTTTAACATTTGCTGAACCAGCTGTTTCAGGCTGCCCTCAGTCAGTGTACTCTGTTTCTGGGGATTCGGGCAGATTAATGATAAAGAGCACCGAGAGCTCTTACTCTGGTTGTGGCTCTTCCTACTTCCTGCTCTCACTCCTGTCAGTTTTGTCTCATGTGTCATGAAGTTGGGTTGTTAAAATTCATTAGGATTAACACATGTACTTGGATGAGTTTATTTTGACTGCAAACTTGCTTGTCCCAAAGTTGACTTTGTCTCATATTAATATACACACGCGTCTGCTTTTCCCCAGTATTGTGTTTTCCTCTGTCCTGATCTGAGGTCCCACATGTACACATTTAAGCTGTATGGACTGTGAATGACATAGCTGCATCCTGTCTTTAGCATGCTCTACTTACATCAGGTTTGAGAATCTTGGTCTTTTAGCTGCAGTATTTATGCCATTTACAGACAATGCAGTCACTAATGTGCTGAGTTTACTTACGCTCTTTTCCTACAGCTTCACCTCAAAACTCCTGTCTTCTCTAGCCACTCCTGCACGTGGAGACTTACTTTCAGTTTCAGTCTGTTTATCTCGGCTTGCTCCTCCAGGTACAGCTCCTGCCGCACTTTCTCCAGATCCTCGCGCTGTCGCACTGTTTCTTCCAACTTCTGGATCAGCTGTTAATAAAGCACATGCTTAAAAAAAAACCTGAACTGGGCAACTGTTTCAGGAGTTCAGCCATCTTTGAAAAGTAGTTATTTTCATACCATATTCTGACGCTGGACCCTCTTTTCCTCACTCTCTTGAACTCTGGCCATCCGTTCGCCTTCTCTTTGCTGCTGTATATTTGCAAACTCTAGAATTTTCCTATTCTCCTCCTCCATCTCCTCACGCTTCTTCTGTCTCCAGAGGGCTTGAGTCCTCTGGAACTCCTTAATATACTTCTGAGTTGCATTCATTTTTTCTAATTTTTGTTGTCTTTCCCTAAAAAGCAATCAGGAGAATGGTTTTATAGTTACAGAAATAATAAAATAACAAAAAATAAACAGACTACTTAGAGTCTGTTACAGCACACTTTCTGGGTATCAGCATGGACTTTCCGCGAATACTAGAGGGTCTCTCTTCTAATGGTGATGTTTAAAGCATTTCATTTCAGAAAGGTGACAGAAGCCAGACAACATTCTGTACTTAAAGCTACGTGCCAAGAAAAGCCATCAGAAAACATGTGTTCTGACATTGACGATGCACGTATTTAAGAAAAATAAAGGTTTAGGTCATTTGCTACTTCCACACCTATTATTTTTCCGATCATCTATTAATATTCATGCTGAGAAAGATGAGGAAAAGCTGTACAACTCATGAACCAGCTCACAATGACAGAGCACGCACATGGGGTGGGCAGTTCTGTGGGCTTTCCTTGTGCATGTATGTACTTACAGCTGGTCTTCCTCGTAGATCTTCCTGACAATTTCATCGATCATGAGTTTTTCTTTCAGCAGCTGTTCATATGCCTCCTGCTTTGTCCTCTCTTGCTCTTCCAGCTGCTTCTCCAGGTCCAGGTGGTACTGTGCCTTCTCCTTGTTCCATCGGTCTTTCTTTACCCTCTCTTCCTTCAACAGCCTCTCATGCTCCTCCATCATGGTTCTGTCTATTTCAGCATCACGTCTCTAGCATTGAAACAAAAAGTATCCTTCCACTTCTGGGAGTGAACAGAGTTGATTACAGCACTACAAAAAGACACAGCTGCACACTCAAAAGCTGCTATGTAATAATTTCTTTCTAAGTAAAAAGCAAGAGTAAGTGCTTGTGACTTGGAGGGCATGAATGGCGAGCCAGACCCGAAGGGGCATCCCTACTCTTTCCAGAAGCTCTTAGGGCAACGCCTCGCAAGGACAATCAGGTCCACATCCATAAAATACAAAGTAAAGTTATATTCTATTACTAACTACTTCTACCACTAAACTATTATTTCCTCTGTAAGTCCAGCTACAGTGTCTGTGTCAAATACCACTGTTGACCAGCTGCTATGGAGCACCCTCCTGCCCATCTGTTGTTCCAGGGCCCTGAGCAACTTTCAAGTTCCCCCCGCTGAGGCTCTTCGTTGCCACACATCCATTTCTTTATTCATTAAGGCTCAGGGTGGCGATTTCAAGTGAAAAGGCCACACCCGTCACTGTGGTGGCTCTCATTTTCATTCATGCAGTGCTACTCCCACTAGGTTACAGACAAACCTTTCAGTAAATTAAATCCCTTACTTCCTTTCAGCATGTTCAAAACCATTCAACTAAGTAAGTTTAAACATACTGGAGCTAGAATTAAAACTACCCTTTATCTGTTGTAACCATATTCCAAATGCAGGAACAGTTAGCAGCGAAGAGAAAGAGGGGCAGACCGGAAGACAAATGCATTCATCACTAAAGCTGATGGTTATAATGACTTAACCACAAGTTCTCTTGTGCTCATGCTGAAGTACATTCTTCTAGAGTATGTAAGATAGCAAAAATATATATGATAACAAAAATGTGGATAGATTTACGTAAACGCAATGCTCTAACTTTGCAAATAAGAAGACCAGCTAGGCCGGAGGCATGGCTTGTGAATAAAGCACTTGCTGCTCTTCACATAGCCTGGGTCTCAGAACCCACGTTAGACAGCTCACAACTGCTTGCAACTCTTAACTACAGAAACCCACCTCTCTGGCCACCATGGACACTGCATGCGTGTGGAACATGTCGAAAAGCAAGCAAATACACATACACATATACATTAACAAAACAAAACACAAACTCACCAGGTACATAGGTGCCCTTCTATTTAGTGAAGGCCTATGTGAATCAATTTTGATTTAGAAGATAGCGGCAATTTTAGAAATCAAATGTCTACAATGGCTATGGATGACCTCATCTATTAGAGTAATCAAAACTACAAAAATGGAACAAACTGTACATTCCGTTCTATTTTATCATTGGAAAAACAGAACGATACAGTTGACAGGCAGGTCTACCCATCTTCCTTAGGCTGTCACTGTCAGCAGGTCCTACAGTAGTGGTTCTCAACCTGTGGGTCACGACCCCCTGTTGGGTGTTGAATGAGCCCTTCACTGTGGTCACATATCAGATATCATGCATATCAGATAGTTACATTAAGATTTGTAACAGTAGCAGAATTACAGTTATGAAGTAGCAACAAAATAGTTTAATGGCTGGGGGTCTCCACATCATGAAGAACTGTGTTAAAGAGTTGCAGCATTAGAAAGGCTGAGAGCCAGTGTGCTCGAATCTTCTAGCCTGTGTCCATTTCTATGCGTTCTCATCCTGTACCACATCTATAATCCTATGTGTATAAACATGTTTGTCGGCACTCACAATCCACATGTATAAACATGTACTTATATGCAATAGTATGGCCTCTCTGAAAATGAGCTCTGGTGACACCATGCACCTTGGTTTTTGCATGTCAACTTAGCAAACCTTATTTTCATACTGCATGACACAGCTGCTAGCACAACTCCTCAAGCTTCTACCTGGGAGCAACTTTGTCCTTGAGAGTTAGACAGGGATAAAAACAGAAACCCCAAAAAAAGGGGGTTACTTTAAAAAGCAAGGGTTAGCAAGTGGGATGGAAACAGAAACCTGGGAAAGGATGCTTATAAACCAGGAAGGCTTCTGCATACCGCAACCACATCTCAGGAGACAGTTTGTACGGAACGAGCCTGTTGTGGCAAGAAGTTCAAGAACACAGCACACGTGGGGAGTTACCTGGGCCTGAGGGCTCCAGTGTCCGGGCAAACGCAGGTCCATGGAACTCACCTACAGTCTGAACATTACAGTTTGGGGAACCTGGCAAGCAGGTTCTTCATAGAAGAGGCCACTCTCAGAACTGGCCTGCCTAGTTTCTAACAAAGCTAAACTGACTGCAGAGGGACTGGAAGCAGCTTTACCATTTGCTCGTACTTGATGGCGTCCCTCTCGGCAATCTGGGCTGCTCTCTCCTTGTTCATGTAAGCGGCTTTCAATTTCTGCTCCAATTCTCTGAGCTCAATACTGTGGGGAAAATGCAACTTTAAACTTGAGGACAATAAAAAAAATTCAGCTTCACAGAAATTTTGGTGAAATTTTATTTACCCAAAGAAAGGATGCAACAGGTATTATTCAGGTTCACAGATAACTAATAACATTTTATAACACTGTAAAGCATAAACCTAAACTTTATGCTCAAGAAAGATTATTCTTCGCTACTTTAACCTTCCTTCATATTTATTTGTCTGTCTATCTAAATTGGTGGAAGTGTTGTCCTTCCACTCTGTGGGTCTGAGATCAAGCCCTGGCCCTCAAGCCTGGCAGTGGGTTAGTCCAAACTACCCTGCCTAACACACACATTCTATCCTAACAAAGTAGTCTCCTTCTTTGGCTGTCTCTGTAAAGTCTTAGCAATCCTCTGGGAACTGGATCACCAGTTCTGGTGTCCCTAAAGCTTGACTGATGGTAGTGAAGACATGACTGGCGTTAAGCAGTTTAATCTTAAGCAGCATTAAGGAAGCAGGAAGATGTCTGAGTTTGAGGCTAGCCTGTTCTACACAGGAAGCTCCAAGCCATCCAGTTATACAGTGAGACCCCCATCTCAAACAAAAACAACAGCTACAAAAGGCAAGTATTCCAGGATTCCACAAGTCTTGTTTTTGAAAATTATTTAAATCATAGAAATCATTTAAATCTTATCCTTGAAGAAAAAGACAAAAGAGACCAACACTCTTTCGCTGTCACATTGACACTTCTACTAAGGCAGCTTATTTTCTCAACTGTTTCTGTGGGCTGAGGCTCTGGCTGTGGTGAGGTACTTGCCGAGCACATGTGAGGTCCTGGCCTCAGTCCCCAGCACCACAACACACGAGTGGTTGAAACAAGTATCTCTAAATTAACACAGTGTTTCCAGGAAAAGCAATAACCATAAGGGCAATAATCTAAATAAAGACTCTCACTTTCAGGTGCTAAGGGTGACAACGCGCAGTGGCGGAGACTAAAAATGCAAGTAGCAGAAGCCACGCCACCTGTTCTCTCTCACTTGCTGCCTCATCTTTTCATCCTTCAGACAGTCGTGCTTCAGCCTGGCCAGTTCGATGGCGAGTCTCTCTTCCTGTTGAAGCTGTCGGTCCCGCAACATCTTGTTCTCTTCTGCCTGGACAGAGAAGGGGAACTTTAGTTCCTGTACCCTCAGGTCAGACTTCTCACCGTGTCACAAAGTCTCAGGTGCTTCACAACAGCAAACTAACTGCCCTCGCAGCGGTAGCCAACTGTTTACTTCGAATAAAAACATATTTCAACAAAGACAGTTCAAATATCCTACCACAGAAAAATTTAAATATCAGCCAATACTGTGAAGAGTGTTAATATTCATTCTTGTCTAACTTTTATCAATATTTTGTTTTTTTCTCTAATTTTGTGTTCTACTCCATTTTTCTTATTCTCTAGTTATCTCCACCATGGTATTTTAAATCAAATCCTAGAGGGCTGAAGAGATGTTCAGAGGTGAAGGGCACCAGCTGCTCTTCCAGGCCCCGGGTTTGGTCCCCGCACTCACAGGGCAGCTCACAGCCGTGTCTTTCGGAGGCTCTGATGCTCTCTTCTGACTCCCTCGGCACCAGACATGCGCACAGTGCGCACATATATATAAGAATAAACACAGCTTTAAAACCCAGAGAATAAAAGAGCCTTGGACACTGCTGCCCGCCATGAAAACAGCTCAGTGTGGATCTGCCTGACAAGAATGATCTGCCTGACAAGAATTTATCTTTCATAACCTCACCATAAAATAGCAATATTTCTTGAGTGCGGTCTAAGGTCTTGCCCACATTCATTTCCCAACTGTCTCAAAGATGCTCTTTTGTAAACCAAACAAGGCCCACATATTATACCTAATTGTCTTTCTCAAGTCTCCTTTATCTATTGGTCCCCTCCACTGCACACACTCCTCTTCTTATACCCTAAGCCAATGATGTGTAGGAATTCCAGCCTGTCTAAGTTAGAGCGTCTATTGCTATGACAGAACACATGACCAAGGCAGCCTGGGAGGGAGAGGCTTTACTTCAGTGCACAGTTCCATATCAGAGTCCATGATGAAAGCAAAGGCAGATGCGTGGACGCAGAAGCCCAGAGGCACGAGCTGGTGCAGAGGACCAGGAAGGCTGCTTCTCACTGGCTTGTTCCTCATAGCCTGCTTAGTGTGCGTTCTCATAAAATCCAGGGCTACCAGACCATGGGTGACACTGGCCACAGTGAGCTGGGCCTACCCACATCAACTGTGAATCAAGAAAATGAACGACAGACGTGCCCACAGGCCAGTCCAGATCACTTTCTCAATTGGGGTTCCCTCTTCCTAAATGACTTCAGCTTGTATCAAACCAATATAAAACTACCCTGTGACCTCTGGTTCCTCCCTCAGGAATTTCCCCAAACTATGCTCTCCTATGTTTTCTGTAAAATGGTGGGCAGATCTGGAGGCTTCACTGCATTCTGAGTTAGGAAGCACATGGCGGTACAGGTCTGCACCCTAGAACTCAAGGCAAGAAAACCGGTGGACATGTAAGCAGAACGTGGTCTCATAATGAGTTCCAGGCCCGAGCAACATATAAAGACTGTCTCCAAAGTGAATAAATAAAAAGCAAAACGAAAGCAACACCTGAAAGGTGTTCAACACCATTAGCCATCAGGAAATGCGGATGAAGAACTGGAGAGATGGACCTAGTTTGGTTTCTGGCACCCACCTCAGGTGCTCACCACCACCTGTTCCTCCAGATCCAGAGATCCGAGTTCTGTGGTCCCTGAGAGCACTTCAATAACATGGACATTTCCACGTGCAGACACACATTTACACATGACTAAAAATAATAAAATAAATAGTTAAAAAATGCCAGTTAAAGGCTGTGTGGTGGTGGTGCACACCCTTAGTCCAGCACCCGGGAGGCAGACATAGGCAAATCTCTAAGTTTGAGGCCAGCCTGGTCTACAGAGTGAGTTCCAGGACAGCCAGGGCTACACAGAGAAACCCTGTTTTGGCACAAAAATAAGTAAATAAATGAATACTAGAGGCTAAGGTTCCAGCTCAGTGGTAGAGTGTTTGCCTTGCATGCATGAGGCCCTAGGCTCAATCCCCATTACTGCCACAGGAAAAAACAATAGTAAATGCAATTATGCATGTAAAAAGACTGCTGGTCTCATAAAGATATTTCATAATTTTTTAAAGACTTATTTATATGTGTAGCAGTGTTATGTCTGCATGTATGTGTGTGGCATGTGCACCACGTGTGTACTAGTGCCCTCGGAGACGGAAGAGGGTGTTGTGTTGCCTGGAATGGAAGTTACGGACAGTTCTGAGCTGCTACGTGGGTGCTGAGAACCGAACCTGGGTCCTCTGCAAGAGCAACAAGTGCTATTAACTGATAAGCCACCTCTCCAGACCCATAAAGTCATATTAAAATTATGAGAGAAAATTAAAAATCAAAGAGAAAAAAACTTGAAAATAACCACAGTGTGGAGCAGAAACAAGTTCATAGGAAATTCACTATTTCCTCCCCATTCCCGGTAGAAGTCTCACTGCAATATGATCATGTCTTCCTGGCTCACTGAGTATGGAAAAGATAAAGGCACACGTCAAAGGAACCAAACAGACAGACGCAAAATGTCTAGAAGACAACAGGCCTGCATCTACATTAGATTAGACACTGAAGTTAACAAAGGATGGAGAGATAACTGTTCACATCAGCAGAGCCTTAGACATAAAAACTATATACGTGGGCTGGAGAGATGGCTCAGTGGTTTTGAGCACTGGCTGCTCTTCCAGAGGTCCTGAGTTCAAATCCCAGCAACCACATGGTGGCTCACAACCATCTAGAATAGGATCTGATGCTCTCTTCTGTAATTCAGGCATACATGCAAATAGAGTGCTCATATGTATAAATAAATAAATTTTAAAATATGTATGAACCTTGCCTGGTCCTGACTAAAAGAAGCAACCCTAAAGGCAGATTTTGACATAGTACAGAAATTTGCTTAAAGGTATTTTCCAGTGACATCATGACAATATGTGAAAGAAAACATCCTGCTTCATCAGACGCTCACTGGCCATTGCTAGACAGGGTTGGGCATCTGGGATTTTCCTTAAAGATTAAACAAGAACAAAAAGGATAGAAAAGAAGAATGTCCAGGATTTGCCTGCTCAGGGTTCAAGGATCAGGTCTAAGCTACTCAAATTTAGGATAGAAGGAAGCTAACACCTTTAAGCCTTTCTTTTGCTATTTCCTAATCCACACTCAAAATGCTGAACACACAGCACTCTGGTACTCAAAACCTAACAAAATATAAGGACATTCTTATCACACAAGAATATACCTATCTCACTTCCCATTTCTTCTTTTTTATTACAATCTCCTAAAAATATTTAGAAATACCCATGAATGATTAGCCAGCAAACCGGGGCGTAAGCACATGCATATGGTGCCTGAATTCTTCAAAAAAAAAAAAAATTCAAAATATGAATACATGTATATACCTCATACAGATGTTCATCTCCTACCACTTAATAATGTCTAGTTTTAATGTCGGGAATTTTAAAAAAGGAATTCTTAAATTTCTTATTAGAAAACTTACAGAAGGCAACATAGCTGCACTCAGAAAAACATTACCTTAACAATTATGAATTTCATATTTATGTTTAATAATAATGCGTATTCTTACTACACACTGTTCTAAAGGTTTCACATTTGCTCGTTATTAAAGCAGTCCTAGAAAGGGATCATCAGATTTTTATAAAGTACAAAAAGCAACCAACTGATCCCAAGTTCCTCAGCTAAAATAACCAGTATTCCGAAAGCCTGGCTGAGTCCCAGTATAACAACGAACACTGAAACTTACTTTTTGGATGGCTTCTTCCATGTCCAGCTCAAACTGCTCATCCTGCAGCACTCTGAGGAATCGCATCCGTCCAACCCTCTCGTCGTCCTCATTCTGCACCATCTGGTTTTTGGTTTGCCTCTCCAACTTATGCAAGACTTGGACATGCATCGATTTGCGTAGGTTCTCATCTACTAACTTCTGATGCTTCTCACTAACGCTCAACTCTCTCTTTCTGGTCGCCTAAAAACGTGGGGCAAAAGGGAATACACGTAATTAACAATTCCATGATCTCCTTTATTTCCAGATAACTGCTGAAAATCCTGAATTCGGGAGTAGACCTAATGCAAATTTAAATGGGAGGGTGCAAACATATAACTTTCTGATTAAATGGGTACTAATAATATCCCCCCCCCTTTATTTTTAGTTAAAGTAACTTAACTTTGAGTTCAGCAGCACCAGTGAGGGCAAAGCGGCTGCAGATTTACCACCACTCAATGGGCTCCGCAAGATGGATTTATCTCAGTGAGGGGGGGAAAACAGTGCAGAAGAGCCCCAGAGGCTTCCAGAAAGCAAATGGAGTTTTCTCGGTGACCCCTCGGGCTACGCCCTCTAGGAGGTAGCGAACTCGGACTGTGAACAGACAGACGTGCAGTTTGAGGGTCCCCGAGCCCTTCCCCGGTCTGCAGGCTGCTCACCATCCTGGCCCCCGTGAAGCCGCCCCGTCTCTCCGCTGCAAGCGCGTCCTCTCGGGCAGCCGCACCCGACCCCGCTCAGCGTTTTCGTTGTGTCCTGGCAACCGCCAAAGCGCGCCGCCCGCCCGAGCGGGACGCAGCTTCCCATTGGCTGGCGCAACACCCAATCGGCACCGAGAGTCTTCGTTGCCAGGCAGGAGCGTACCAGGAGGCGCGAAGTTCGGATGCCGCGCCCCGGCGGGAGCCATTGACCTCCGAGGAGAGCTAATCCCCGCGGTCTGGAGCCCCGCCGAAGCCTCGGGGGACACCAACAAGAAAAGCCCAGCCTTCCCCCTGCGGTGGACTGAGGGGCTGGCCTCCCCCGCGCAGGTCCTCTGGCAGAGCAAGGGCTCTTCGTGGAGCCCTCTCTCCGGTCCTGATGCACCCACTTTACAGGCGAGGTATTCTGAGAATTCAGAGACGCGGACAAGACCAAATGGACTTACCTGGGGCAGAAGCCACTGGATCGCCGGGGGCTTGGCGGTGGGGGTGGGGGATGGGGAGTGGCGGCGGGCTACCGGAAACACCAGGTGATTTTTGAGAAACTGCCAGAGACCAGTGGGAGAATACAGAACACGTAAAAGCAGAGCCACCTGCAATCCCAGGGCCCCCGGAGGCCTGGACGTGTGACCCTTCGAGCAGGCGGTCTAGCTACCTTTCTTATACAGCCCAAGCCCACCTGCCTAGGGACAGCCCACCCGCGGTGTGCTAGGCCTTCCCACATGAATTAGCAATTAACTGACTGTCCAACAGGCCAATCTGACGGAGGCAATTGTTTAAAGCGTCCCTCTCTCCAGGCGCATCAAGTTGACAACTAGGATAAACTATCATTAGTGATCAGAATATAGTACATAACTTTTTTCCAATTAAAAAAAAAAAAAAAAGATTGGCCATCACTCCATATAGGAACCTGACTGTGGTTCAGGTAGACCGCAAAACATTTTTGAACTCAGGATACAACTAACCTTCGAGATTCTACTAAAAATGTGGCTTCTGTATACGTAATTTTAAATTTCAACTCCCATGTGAAAACAAAATTGTGTGTTATAGACTGTCGTATAACGTCCTGATGCGTGGATTGCATTGCATAATATTTAAATCGATGAGCCTACATCAAACATCATTTCTTCAAGGTGAGACTAAAAATCTTTTTATCTGACTTTTTGTAATGGACGCCATATTACCGTTGAACACCCACACCAGTAATTCTGACTCTATCTTAGTAACTGCTGCCCAGTCTTTCCCCATCTCTCCCTCCACTTACTCCCCCAGCCTCTGTCATCACCATTCTGCTTACAAGCTCAATGAAATTAACACTTTCTAAGACTCTACATGGTCACATAATCATGCATTATCTTTGTTTTTTTCTTGACAGAAGTTTTTGAGGTTTTATTTTATGTGCAGGAGTGTTTTCCCTGCACGTGTGTCTGTGCGCCACTTTTGTGCCTGATACCCACAGAGACCAGAAGAGGGTATCAGCTCCCCAGGAACTGGAGTTACAGGCCTGTGTGGTGTATATATTATATCCGTCTCCACACTGGAGCTGCCATGTTGGTGCTGGGAACCAAACTTGGGTCTTTAGCAAGAGCAGGCAGTTCTCTGAGCCACTGAGCCATCTCTCCATCCCTGACGTGCAGTATCTATCTCAAGCACCTCTACGTTATCTCAGCTGACATCTCCAGTTTCAACCACACCGACACAAACGGCAGGACTTAACTCAGCCCTGTGGCTGCATCTTATTTTGTCCATTTATCAGTTGATGGACAGGTTATAACTCTGACTTCACCCTGTCAATCGAGCTGCGGCTAACATATGTGTTCAGAGGCCTTGGCAGCATACTGATTGCATTTCTTTTAGATGTATACCTACTATGTGGCTGGATCAGGCAGTGGTTTAAGCTTGGGGGAACCTCAATACTATATTCACTAATGCCCACACTAATTCACATTTTCCTCAGCAGTGTGCAAATGTTCCCTTTTCTCAATGCTCTCCACAATGTTTCAGGCTTTTTGGAAACTATTCTTGCTGGGGTGGAGTCATATCTACCTGTTGCAGGTGTGGCTTGCATGGCCCTGATCATTAATCATTCGTGACGATGCTTTTTCATGTTGGCCTCTTTCATGGCTTTGTTGCTAGAAATGTCAGCTTAGACACACTGCCTATTTTAAATCAGGTTTTGTGGTTATATGCTATTGATTTTTTTTTTTGAGTTCCATATCATCCAAGTTTGTCTCTGTTGCTGTGATAAAAAAACAAAAACCACTGACCAAAAGCAGCAAGTTGGGGAGGACAGGAGTATTTGGCTTAAAAGCCAAGGCTGAAGCTCGAAGCACAGAGGCAGGGACCGAAGCAGAGGCCATGGAGGAGGGCTGCTTACTAGCTTGTCTACCTACTCTTGTTCTACCTGCCAGGCCGACCTGCCTAGGGATGGTGCAACAGACATGCCCACAGGCCAATATGACAGACACAGCTCCTCACTGGAGACTCCCTCATCCCAAGTGACTATAGTGTATCAAGTTGAAAAACAGAAGAAAAAAAGCACCATGCTTGAATATTCTAATTGTCAACTCCTTGTCAGATGTATGATGGGAACACTGTCCGCCTATCACACACACTGTTTTACAGGTTGCATTTCTATTCTGAGTCTGTTCATTCAGTGGTTCTCAGCCTCTGGGTCGCAACCCCGAAGCCCATTGGAAAACACAGATATTAGGATTCATAACGGCAGCAAAATCACAGTTATGAAGTAGAAACCAAAAAAAAATTATGGTTGGGTCGCAGCATTAGAAAGGTTGAGAACCCCTGAGTTAATGTTTCTTTGCTGGCTGTTTGTTTGCTTTTTGCTCGAGTTTCCTACATATAAGGGCAATCATGTGCTATCCCCCGACACACACACAACTCTTTGCCCCTTCCCAAATCTTAAAACATTTAAAGAATTTTTTCTAGTGGCATCATAGTTTTAGGCACACCTGAATCTTTAGCCCAGTTTCAGCTGATTTTCAGTCACCCACGTTCCTCTGCACGTGGACGTCCAGTTTCCCCAGCAGCCACTCCTGAAAACACTGCCCTTTGTCTGGGGGGGGGGTGCTCAGGGCTCTCAGGTTGAACAGCAGTGGTCTGTGGATGGTGAATCTATCTCAGGCTTTCTGTTCTGTTGCGTTGGTCTGTAAAGCTGTATCGAATGACGATCCCGCGTTGTCTGACTCCAGCAGCTTTTTAGCATGCTTTGAAAGCCAGGGACACAATGCCTCCTGCTTTCTTCATTTTGCGAGTTGGGTTGTGCGGCTTCTAATAAAGCAGCTTCTAATTAAAATGGTCTGATGGTCCGTCAGCTGCAAATACTCTACTCAACCTTGATGTATTCCAGACATTGAAGGCAGTTCCTGGCATTGATCCGACTTAAGTATTTGCTCAGTGAACAGCTGGTTGGGGTCATGTTACTTCTTTGCACGCGGAGACAGCACTACCTAGAAATCGTCTTGCAGAGGTATTGATCTTCATTAGCCCAGTGAGAATTACATAATTATAAACTAGTAGCAATGTTATCTGTTTTCTAACGACAAACTTTTTCATTTTTCTGTTTCAATCCTCTTGATTTCTGATTCCTTCTGTTTGTTTTTGGTGTAGTTTTATTTTTTCCAGTTTCTTAATGCAAAGGCTTAAATATTTGAGACAATTTCCTTTAAGTGCAAGCAAATAACATCAGTTCCTCTCAAAGCTTTAGCCACCTCTCATATATTTTGATAGTTTGTTTTAACACTCATTTTGTTGATAGTATTCAGACTTATTAGCTGACCATTGAGTGTCTTCACAATTTTTCTAATGTTAAAAACACTCTGATCAAGGCAACTTGTAAGAGAAAGTATTTAATTTGGCTTGTGGTACCAGAGGTGAGAGTTGATGACAGTGAAATGGAGGCAGAGTAGCAGGAAGAGCTGAGGGCTCACATCTGGGTCTGTGAACAGGAGGGAGAATGAGCACACTAGGGACAGTGAGAAGCCCAGTGACGACCTCCTCCAACAAGGCCACACTTCCTAATCCTTCCCCAGCAGTTCCACCAACCAGGGACCAAGCATTCAAATGTCTGAGACTTACGGGGAACAGCTCGTTCAAACAGCTCATTGAGTTACCTAGAAATGTCCCATCTTTTTGCTGACTTCTAGTTCAATTCCACAATGGTCAAAGAATACAATTATGTGTCTTTCATTCTAAATCGGTGATGGCTGACTATGCAGAGTCCAGTCTATCCTTATGCCCGTTGAAAACTGTATTCTGGGATGTTCACTCCATAAGGCTAAGTCGGTTAAAGACATGGTTTGGCATCTCTCTTCACAATGTTTCTGTCTGTTTTATCAATGACTGTGGTGTGTTAAGGCTGTTGGGTGTGATTACAGATTGCTTCTCATCTTGATTTTGATTCAGCCACGTGTCTCCTAGGAGCCTGTGGGTGCATATAGTTTGGGATTACTTTATGTCTTGGTAACACTTTGACATAGCCTCTCTGGCCTTGATGATAATGCTGGTGCTCTTACACCCATCAGAATGGCTAAGATTTAAAAAAAAAAAAAAAAATGCTGGAGAGGATGTGGAGAAAGGAACCTTACTTCATTGGTGGTGGGAATGTAAACTAGTACAACCACTTTGGAAATCAATCTGGCGCTTTCTCAATTAGGAATAGTGCTTCCTCAAGATCCAGCTATACCACTCCTATGCATATATCCAAAATATGCTCAAGTACACAACAAGGACATTTGCTCAACCATGTTCAAAGCAGCTTTATTCGTATAGCCAGAATCTGGAAACAACCCAGATGTCCCTCAACTAGGGAATGGATACAGAAATTGTGGTACATTTACACAATGGAACACTACTCAGCAGTTAAAAACAAGGAAATCATGAAATTTGCTGGCAAATGGTAGGAACTAGAAAAGATCACCCTGAGGAAATATCCTAAAAGCAGAAAGACACACATGGTATATACTCACTTACAAGTGGATATTAGACATACAATATAGGATA